TAAGTAAACCCAACTAAACCAAACCCAACCAAACTAAAAGATACAAACCAAACCAAGTGAGGATCAGGAGGGACAGAGGTACCAAGCTGCATGTGTGGCAGCTTTTAAGCAGCAATCAAGCCAACCAACAGCACCTACTGCTTCAACTCCAAACCCTGCAAAGAAACAAGACAGCAGAGAAACTATAGGGCCGTAACATTCAGCAAATGGGTTTCCATCTCTGCTTTTGTGTATTAACTCTTATAGGATGGAGGAAATTGGTCTTGGCAGAGGTTTTGCACTCTGAGTGCTTCTAGTCTTAGTTTAAAACATTAGCATGAAAGGCAGCAGGTGATATTTGTTCTTTTGAACATCTTTTAGGCCTTTTATAGTCATAGTTTTATAGGCCTTTTTTTAGTTGTTTTATTAGAAAAGACGGCTAATTAGAAGTAAATGTTCTTCTTCTAGATCAGTACCTGATCTTTGGAACAGAGGATGGGATCTACACGCTGAATCTTAACGAGCTTCATGAGGCCACAATGGAGCAGGTAACCTCAGCTGAAATAAAGTTTCATTGCAGCTTTTATAAAAATGTTGTTGCTTTCCAGCTCAGTCATTTAGAGCTTTTTTAACTAAAATTGTTTATTTAGTGGTCATTATATATTTTTGTGAAAAACCCTGTGAACATTTGCCTTCTCAGATGACACTAAATACACCAGACTCTTAAAGACTAAATTAAACTAAAGCTATTTTGAATTTTTACTCAGTGTCTCTTAGTTTTGTTGAGTCAAGYAAGATCATCACAGTTTTTTTTATTTATTTTATGTTAACTGGCTGAGTTGGATCAAATCAGTGTCAGACTGGTTTTTAAATGTTTCCAGATAAATCATTTCAAAACTAGAATCTAGTAGATATAGTTATATAAATCATGGCTTTGTGCTACTTGTCACAAAGCAGCAAATGTTTCCAGGAACCGCTTTTCCACTGGTTTTTCTTGGTTATTTTTACTCTTACGGAGGTCAAAATGTGGGTATTTTTTCTGAACTTGGACTATTGCAAAGTTATGTTTGAATTTTARTCAACAGCTACATTGACACCTTTCATTCCTGCGAAAATGTTTATTTTATCTCCTTTTCTTCAAAGCTAATATTAAAGTATATGTTGATGGTGTTTTTACCCTTTTAGCTTTTCCCAAGGAGGTGTACGTGGCTGTACGTTATCAACAACAACCTGATGTCGTTGTCAGGTAAATGACGTGATCACAGCCACCTGCTTAATGGCCCTCTGTCATAACCTGCTGTTTGTTTKTCCTGCGTTATCTGGCTGCCCCTGAAGGCAGCACAGCCACACCATATCCTTCACACTAAAATAACCTGTTTTTTTTACCTTAATGGCCACAAAGTGACTTATGAGAAATGTACATCTTTTAAAAGCATGCTWTCTTGCTGAACTAGATTTAATGCCGTTTGTAGTTTACAGTGTTGATTAGCAGTTAAATTAAATGTAGTTTGTTTGAACATGAGGCAGATAAGCCTCTGACGCTGGGGGGAAAAAAAAGCAATTGAAAGTATGGTTTCTGGATTCCATTGGTGGGCAGCGCTAATCCAAAAATTAGCTCCGTAATTTCTAAAGCGTTTATGAAAATATTTAGCTCCGCAACTTTAAAAACGCTTATGTCATAGAAAAACTAGCGGAAGCTAATTTTAAAGCACAAGTTCAAATTGACACTTAATAGCTGACAATTCATGTACATTATGCACAATACTGCCAACAAGCGGTGTATGAACTCTTTTACAACTTAATCCTACAAGCGCAGATTGCTGGGGATGTGATTTCTTTAAACAGACCTTTAGCTCCTGGTGTAAAAATTAAAACGTTGTTGAGGCTTGCTAGTTCGGCTGCTTCTTTAAAAAGTTGTTTAGGATTGCTAGCTCGGCTGCTTCTTTGTCTTTTTCTTTTGTTTGTTGTAGATCTTTCATTAAAGAAGCATCAATAAAGTAATTTTAAAACTGTTTA